CCCCCCCCCCCCCCCCCATATACCATATAGAGTTTGATCTGAAGTAAACCACCGTTGTGCATCATTGCTTTGATTGCCTTTTGTGTTTCCTGCTCCCAGGAGACTCACCAACAGCTGGCGAACCAGAAGAATCTCTATGTGGTGGAGTTCCGGGAGGAGCAGGGCCCTCTGCCCATCGTCGTGGCAGTGCCTGAGGGGACTGTCCGCGAGGACCCCGAGCCTGAGGATGAGGTTCCAGACACAAAACTGGAGTGGAGTGAGGTGAAAGAAGCTCAGGGAATGAAGAAATCTCCCTGGGCAAACGTCAGACGGACAGCATGTTAAAAGTTTCAGTCCCTCTGTCTCTTCTGCTCAGAGATGCAACCGGGAAAGCCCAGCCCAAAGGGACAGGTTGTCTAGGCTTACATTTCGGAGGAGGGCACCAGTAGCACTCTCATACCATTCATAATGCTGCTACCATTCAGTAACACCGTTTGCTTTCCCACAATTCTCCTGCCTGCTGTTTGACTGGGGACGTTCAGGTGGAGACAGCCAGGGAATGTGACTTCCTCTTCAAGCATGCATTTACTCGATTCCTTAAGATGATGTTTAATCGGCAGATCCCTTGTTTCTTTCACAAGCTCTTGGGAAACTACTGAAAATATAAGATTGTGAAAGCAATAAAGAATCCTCAGAATGAGTTCAGTGTGGGCTTGTTGGGGTCTTTTTTGCAAAATGCCAGTGTCTGGGAGATCTTGAAGCAAGCAGCGGTAGCAGGAGTTAACGTGTGCACTCTCCATCTCCCTAGGCTCACTTGTGATCGTGGGGCAAGTGTGAAATCAGAAAGTAGAAGTTTTGTGTCTTCTGGGGGGGGGGAAGGGTGATAAGGTGATGGTGGGCAACAGCTGGGGTTGTGCAAACACTGCTCATGCAGGTGGGGGAGTTCCCTAAATGAAATAGAGCCCAAATATCTGAGGACGACCACCCCACAGTCTCCTGTGGGGTATTGCAGTATTTTGGCTGGCGTTGGAAGTCCAGTCCGAAGCCTGCAATCCAGCTTTGCTCACCGTACTCTCCTCTGCATGTGTGCTGGGATAAGACCTAACTTCATTTTCTGCTGATTTGGTACTGAGCACAGTAGACTCTTGGACCCTACCCAGAACTCAAAGTGCTACAGCTGTCAGAGGACTAAAGGAGAAAGAGCAAGTCCGTGATACACGCATCTCTGACCGGAGATGGAGTAAACCCCGTCGTGTATTGGATTTCCAACTGAAGCACACAGAGGTACGTGCTAGATGCTCGGTTAGCTTGCCGGTTGGACGGGATCCATCACCCATGTCCCACCAGAAGATAAACAAACTCTGCACCCACACGCTAGGACGCAACGCTCTACCTGGCAGCTCCATGTTTTTGTCTTGGGAATGGCAAAAGAAACTGCAGAACCGAACCCAAACAATGTTTTATCACAAAGTATTAGAGCAATCCAGGCTATAAAACAAGTTGGGAGTTAACTTCTGTGCCTTCCCGTCTGTGAGTGCTTGTCACGGCATTTCTCTGTATGCGAAAGATGCTTGTACCCTTGAACCCTTCTTGGTCACTCAGTAATTTCTGTTCTTGCTGCTAACACAGGGTAAAACACCACATTGTTCTCGGTGGATCTTTTCTCCATCAGCCAAAGGACTGGGAAATGTCTGACTGATTTATAGCTGGTGCCTCCAAGAGAATCCACACAAGCCTTGCAGGTCTGCCTGGCGTGCTAGCAGAAATGAGGAGCTGCAAGGTGAGGAAGTGGTAGGGCAAATGTCATTTGCCTTTTCAGAACTTAATGTAGTAACCACAAATCTCCCTCTTTCCCCAAGGTCTGCACGCTAGCTACACTTGCATCTGCTCCCATGAGGGTCTTCAGGACTCCTCTGCCTTGCCTCTGCTCTCTGGAGGTTTAGGTCTCTTCTCAGACCCACAGGACAATAACTCGTGTTTGAGCTCTTCCGTGGATCAGGAATGAGGCATTTCCGTCCTGCAAAGCAAATGGGGTTTCAGTGCTTGATTCTGTTAGGGTAAGGGAGGCCGAGGAGCAGGAGGGGGCCCTGGTCCCAGTGCAGAGATCGGAGGTGGGGAATGGACCTCAGGAGATGGGGAGGCCGAGCGAGCCGCCACGACTCAGGCTGCCACAGACCCCCGTGGAGCTTCGGTTCCTCCTTAGAAGTCCTCTTTTGTGGGTTTCCCGTTTCCACAAGTTTGTTCATATTAATATAGATGCTTGTACAGATGTTCTACCCAGTGTACAGTTTGCTCATCGCTCAGATACAGCTGGCTGTAAAATGAGAAACACGAGAAACTGCTGGCATTTTCCATGGAGCTGGCTGTAATTTTCTGTTAAGTTTCTTTGCTTTCAGACAAAGCAAATTCTTCTCCTGCAGTTCCGGAGAAGGTGGAAGTACTTCTAACTCATTGCATGACTGGAGGCAAGGTATCCAATATAAAAATATTTGGGGAACAGCTAACATTGCGGTTAAGAAGCTATTTAATTAAGCAAGAGCAACCAAGATTACAATCTGGGCATAGTTAATGAATGATGTCTGTAATCTTGCTTTTATCACAGGAGCTGAGGTTTTGCCTGCCTTCAAGTGGATAGTTTGTTTTAACTAAAGTCTAATTGCCTGCTCTCTGGAGTAGATGCCTGCAGACCTTGTTTTTCGGAGGAAGCTGGAGAAGAGCGGAGATGGAAGCTCCAGTTACGCTACCAGTTGAAATCTGGTGGTGGCTGTGGGGATGCAAAAGGCCCACTGTTAACGGTGTGAATGGGGCTTGTAAGTGCGCTGAAAAAAGGGCTGATTTGTGGGTTTTAAATGTGCTGCTCCATCTAGCTACGTCCGCAAGGGAATCCCTGGGACCGTGGGAGCGTGAGGATGAATGGAATGTCGTGGGGAGGATGCTGTTGAAGATGAGGTGGTGATCTGGAAATGTCTGAGCAAATGCAGAGCCTGGGACGGGGCAGCCCCACGGCCTGGGCCCGGCGGGGAGCAGCTCCGCACGCAAGGGGGGTTCTTCAAGACAGTGTTCATCTCTCCATGTGTTCGTCACGCCCGACGCTTCCAGTGGGGTGACAGCAAATTCTCAGGCCAATGCTATTTTCGGGGTCTCTCTGGGGATGAGACCTGGTGCACGTGTGGTAGGTGGTTTGTAGAGGTCCTGGGAGATTCTCTGAGCTCTGGGCAGCATCTTTCCCTTCAGGGGCACGGAGATGTGCCATTGTGCAGGCAGCTGCCTTGGGCTGCCCAGCTTCCAGGGCATGGAGGTCTTTGTGGCTGGATTGAGACAACAGGAGGGCTGGGCATGATGGCAATGGAGACTTCAGGGTGCTTTTTTCATTTTCTTTGTCTATTTTTTCCTCTTCTTTCCACCATGCAGGAAACACGCCTATTGCTGCAACTCACCTGGCACCTGTCGGGTGCATTCAGCAGCCTGGTGCAACAAAGCCACATCTGGCTGTGTCACTGTCCCATGCTGGGGGCCAGCAGCCCTGTGCCAAACGGGGACACGCGTTCGCCTGCAAGCTCTTCAGCTGCGTGGGATTGAAGTCGGAGCCATGCTGGGAGGGTTTCAAAGCTGCAGCGCTGCTTTGCATCAGTGCATCTGGATGCTCTTGACCCTGCGGTGGCCATTCTCTCTGCCCGGC